TTAAGGCGTTAACTTATGACTGCTTCATTGAATTTTTTGACTCATTTGTAGGTAGTTTCTGAAAAATCAAATCACGAAATTCCGATCAAACATTTTGCTTCTTGATAAGTCTAATGACTCTTTAGGATACCGTGAATGTTTCTTTGTCAAGATATTGGTTTCTCAAAAGATACCTAAAATAGGTCGAACATTTATTCCAAAGACCCATAAAGACGAACTGTTCCAAATATTCGCTAGTCTTCCGTGTTCAAGAAATCAAGTGTACAGTTTCGTGTAATCGATCACAGATTCAAATTCCTCGTCTTCGAAAACTTTTAATCAAAGTTTATAAGAGATTATGATTTTCTTCCAATAATTATTCTCTTGACAATAAAATCCAATCCATTATTTTTCCGCTAATGTTATTCGATAACGTAACAGTAACTTCTTTCTCCTCGATAACAAAGTCTATGACAAATCAACTTACTAATCCATTAGCATCAAAACGAAGAATTTCATTTCGATCTTCTAATTGAAAAATTCTTATTGTACCATCAAGACTACTTGTAACTATATGAGTATCTTCAATAGGTATGACATCAGTTATACAATCTGTGTGTGAAGCAATAAGACGAGTTTTTGTTCGTTCTGTTGTCCAACAAATATACCATAATGATCCACATAATGTACCAACAATACCCATATCAAATATATTATCAAAGGATCCACTAATAATTCCATCATCAAGTTGAAATTCATCTTGTATTGTTAAACCATAATTTCTATGAAAAAAACAATTTTTTTTTGTTATTTTATTTTGTCAAATTATGTTTAGAGATGAATACTTACGAATCATTAATATTTGTTTGTTCTAATTTAATTTCAAGATTTTCAATATTCCATAATTTTAAACAACCAGTTGATGAACCTGTTAATAATTTATATTTAATTGTTGTCATATAACATATTTCATTTGAATCAGCTTTCCAATGAAGAAGACATGAATTTGTACGTGTATTCCAACATGTTATAAAACCAGAATTAGTTGAACAAAGAACAAGATGAGAATATGATATTAAATAAACACATGAAGTTATTTCACATGAATTTTTTGTATGTTCATTAATTGATAATGGAACTTGTCCATTAACAACTTGTAATCGTATATTTGTATCATTTGTTTGTTCAATAATTGTACAAAAACGAATACAACCATTTGAACAACCAAGACAAAATTCATTTGCACGCATAGAATTCCAAGCAAGACAATTCATATAAATTGATGAAGATTCATCTTGCCAATTAAGTAAATTTGTATAATTATGTGCGGACCATAAAGTAAGTAATGGTTTTCGATAATCACCCATAGTAATAAGAAAACGATCATCTCTATAAAATAATAATAATAAAAATTTTGTGAAATGCGATCTAAAGATTGACTATCGGAACTTTTTAAAGTTTCAGGACAGGTTTTTTTTCTATATTGTATAATACAGGAATTGATCTCCTAGTAGATATATTGTAAACATATCAGAGTCGATTTATATCGATAATCAGTGTTTTTTAAAGTTTTTATAACTAACTAACAATAGCGGATGACTCAATGATTAAACCGATAGCAGAATGTATTTAAAAAAAAATTCTAATAACTCTCAAAAATAAATCCTAAAACGTTGCTGAATATAAAAGGAACGAATAAAATAAATCTCCTTCAATTAGCAATAGTAAATATTTCATACCTTGAAAAAGCCATTGATTGAACTGCATGAACTGATTGCTGAAGATATAACTTTTGTTGAAGCGTCTTTATATCCCAAATAATAATTTTTGTTTGTAATTCATCTTTGTTTGTTATTGTTGAACATTGTGCACTTGCCAAGATAGTCACATCATTTGACAAAGTTAAAGTTGAGATTTCTTCAGTATGTCCTAGTCGAGAGGGAGAGAGAGAAAAAAACGAACAAAAATTTCAATAATAAAAATTATCATAAATATAAATTATATTTACCGGTTAAAATTGTTTGATGATTATTATTAAGATTTTCTACAATAACATTACAACCAACACTATAAGCAAAAAATCCACTATGTGCATGCCAAACAAGATTTTCTCTTCCATTGCCATTATAACCAATTATAGATTTAAGTTTAAGACTTTCTTGATTAACTGGTGCAATATAACGTTTCTAAAATGTTAATAGAAATAATTTTTCATTTTATTTATGAAAGAAGATTGATTAAAGTCAAGTTAACAGTAAAAATTCAAGACACGCTTTTTTTTCTATGAAAAGAAAAAAGGTAAAATATGTCTTTTGAATACTAAATTAAGACAATTTGAATACTTCATTAATTTTATTATTATCAAAAGCAGAGTGGGAGTGCCATTATTCGGATCAACTCTACACTTACACCTTCAAGTAAAGTTCAGTAGGCTTAGAATTTCAAGCTCTATCTTCTTTCTTTTCATAGAGCAGAAGAAAAGATGTCTTAAACTTTTGTTATTAATTTTACTTTAGCTAATTGTGAATGATTAATTCGTTGAATAAAATGACGTCGAATCGTTGGTAGATTATCGATTTGTTTTGTTAATAAGTTTTTATTGTTTGTTTTTCTTTAAAAAAAAAGTATCAATGTTTATATATATATATATATATATTTATATAAATTCGTGTTTACTTTTGTCCTTTAGATACACTTATATTTTTATCAAGTTCAGAATTTGATAATGATCGTGTTATAGCTCGAGCTGTATGACCATTTGTTTGTTGATTATACTGAAATGGTTCAGGTGGATTTCTCGGTTGTCCATTATTATTATCCAAAGTAGATAGAATAGGCACACGTTCAATAACTGAAAAAAATTTCAATAAAAAATGAAAAAACAAAAAAATTTCAATCATTTTAATAAAATTACGTTTTGAAGGCACGGTGCATTGTGTTTTACTGAGAAAAAAAACAAATTATTAATAAAGAAAATATTCAAAACACAAAAAAAAAAGTTTTACTTTAAAAGTGCTGGTCGTGGTGTAGTCCATGCGAGTACATCCCATATAAATATTGAATCACCAATACTTACAATATGCATATTATCATTTGTAAAAAATATTTTTCGTATTGGTTCTGAATGACCAACAAAACTCTTAATAAAAATTAAGTTAAATATTATTGTTTAATATTTAATAAATTTTACTTGAAAATTTGCATCATTCCAAAATTTAATCATATTATCACCACCAGTAACTAAATATTGACTATCCGATGATAGAGTTAGACAATCAAATGTACGTTTATGTATATTACTTATCTAATAATTAAAGATTTAATTTCGTTTAGCAAAACAAAAAAAATTAAATCTTACAATATTTAAAAGTTTTCCTGTATATGAATCAAATTTAAGTAATTTAAAATTTGTTGTTGCAACTAATAATTGTCGATTAGGTGCAAAACGTACAAATAAAGCTGCTTCTGTTGATGTTATTGATCGTCGATCATTAGTTATTAATGTACAACTACTTATATCAATTCGAAGTGTTTGATTTAAACTATTTGTTTCAATAATTGTTACAATAAATTCTGTTGGTCCAACATATGCTGTATGTTTACCATCTGGACTTATAGATAATGTTGTTATACCTTTTCGTGATATTGATAAAGCTTTAGCTACTGTACGTTGTAATTTATAACTATCATTAGCATCCAATAAACATAAATTGCCTTCTTCATCAGTGCTTATTAAACGTTCACCATTATGAGCATAGAGTAAACCAGTAATGCCTATTGTATGATGTCTAATAAAAATAAAACAAACGTACATTTCGAAATAGATATCATCAAAGAGAGTGAATAAAACTGCTAAGAAAAATAATCCTATCAATTGATTAAAAACATGAAGATTGTTTTATTCTATATATCTTGGGACACATTTCTTTATCCTCCTTTTACTTAATTCTTCAGGGAAGTAGTTTATATATTGCAACGATCAATTACTAATATACAGTCTGTGATTGAAAATCAACAACATATTTTATGGTATACAATGGATTAAGCTGACACGACTAGATGGCTACATATCGGGCTATTGAATTTGCCACTAAGACAGATCAAAGGTAGGAGTATTCTTTCTTCTTCCTATGATGGATTTCCTAGGTGTCTATAGGAGGAGGGAAGTCAGTGGCTCCAAGTTTCTACTCTGTATAATAGAATTCAAGAAAAGATTTTTGTTGAATGAAAAACAACTCACGAAGAAATTAATATGAAGTTATTTATCAGTTTTGAACTAGTATTTTGAGCATACAGCAAGAATTGCAGCCGAAATCCATTCTCTATAGTATTAGGATGGTTTTATTAGATTTTTGATACAGAATAGTGGACTAGCAAGAAATTTGCACTAAGGATTTTGTCTATAAGAATATCCCATCTCCTTCATAGTAACGGAACAAGGCACTGAACGATATTAACAACAAGACTTAGACTGTTCTAGAACATTTCAAAGCCTTTCTCGAAACTTCAATGATTGGAATACGTTTTTGAATGTTCTACATAATGCAATTTTTGATTTTTGCGGAGATAAAAATTTATATTCAAAATATTAATGATGATATTGGTCGATTAACCTTGGAAAATAACCATAGTCTGCTTGAGATTTTTCACTTAATCTATTTCGTATTAGTATAATGAGTCTAAAAAAAACACATGAATTCCATATTTTAGTCTAAAAAGGAGCTGTGCTGACAATCCTTGCTATTCAATTTTCATAGTAGTATTCCAATCTATGATAAAAATCTAATAAAACTCTCGGAATTCTTTTGAAGAAAATGCCTATAAACCTGAATTCAATTGATTAACTGTAATGATCAAAAAAGATGAATATCGTTCATTGCAAAATCACACTACATATATATATGTATTTTCTAACAAAAATCTAAACTTACGTAATTTCAGCTGATATAATTGATGTATTCAATTCAAAAATTTTAATTGTACCATTATTAAAACCACAAGCAAATGTTTGTCGATTTGGTGCATATGTTACAATAACTGGTGTTTCACGTTCAGCAGTAAATTCAGATAATTGTTTACCTGTACGAAAACACCATATACGTATAGTTCCATCTTTTCCAACACTAATCATTTGTTTTCTTGTATCATCATAATCAATATCTGTTACATATTGTGTATGTGTACGTATTAAATTAATATGTTCTTTATTAACAAGATTTAATATACCAAGTGTACCAGATATAGTTGAAATTAATATACGTGTTTGATCATGTGAAGTAGTTAAACCACATATACCTTGATCATGTTTAGCTTCAATATAAACTTGTGTAAAATTATTTGACCATACACGAACATATCCATCATTTGAACCAGTTATAGAAAAATTACTTGTACATGTAAATGCACATATACCAATTGTTGGTCCATTAGACATTGTTATTTTATCTGTTGAACCATTTGAATGTTTTATTGGTAATAAACGATGAATTTTAATAACACGTCTTTCATCATATAATAATTCAAGTATATGACCACTTTTTGATGATATATAAACAATTAATTCATTTAATTTATTATTTGATAAATGTTCAAATTGTAAATCTGTATATTCTAATTGATCAATATCATCAACAGATATACTCATAGATTTTAAATCATTATCATTTTTCATACGCCAAAAACGTATATTATCTAAACCAATTGAAATAAATCTTGTTGAATCATATGGAACAAAACGTATATGTGTTATTGATGTATCTGTTGTTGTTCGACATATTAATTCAATTGAACCTTTATGTGCATTTAATGTATTATAAACACAAACAACAGTACGTGATTGTTGTGGTTGTTCACCATGACCAACAACAACAAGTGTTGAAGATGAATCTGATAAATTTCGAATACCAAAATCAAGTGCATGTAAATTACATGTACCTGGTACACGAATAACACAAATACAACGACGAGTTTCAAATTTCCATAAACGAAGAATACCTAAGATTGAATAAAGTTATTAGTATTATTATAAACGAGGAAAGAAACAACAGAAACTTCAGTCTTATGGACTATCTTTCTATCAGTTCGACTGGAATGAACATTTTTCGATAATACATTGGATAACTTATTAATTTTAGTTAAACAGAAGAATCCTAACACGATATAATAATGAAATTTAGAACAAATTTTGTTTGAAAATTTTCAGTTGAAGGAAAAAAAAGCCCTTAAGAAAGATCGATGAGTCGATTGAAACAAGATCAGATGTAATTTGATAATGAGATAACGAAGAATAAAACGAACTGTATTCTTCAAGACTGTGTTCTTTTCTAAATAATTAAATACGATTATCGAAACTTAGAATTCGCTCTAATCGCTAGAAGAGAGAATGATTTTCGATCGTGTTTCCACAACAAAAACGTATTAAATTTTTAATAAAATTTGTTGTCTCTTTACCATTTGGTCCAGTTTGTGTTGTTGCTAATAATGAAGAATTTCCATTAAATGCAATAGCACTAACTTTATCTGTATGTCCAATAAAAAACCATTGTTGTTGAGTTTCAACATGCATTTGAACGACAATAGCATTTGATGGATAAAGTACATAATTACCATCTTGTGTCCATAATAAATTTCTTGAATTATTTATACGATTACTTAAACCAATAACAGTACGTAGACGAAGTATTGGATCAGGTAAATGAGATTGTTGAGAACGATCAGTTGTAAGAGCAAGATCAAAATTAAAATCATCATGATTTAAATTAATCAATGGAATTGTTTGTGGTTTAACAAAAAGATGAATTCCATCATCATTATGATGTGATGAAGTTGAAGGTAACGAAGATTCATGCATTGTAGGTAATGATGGAAAACCATCAATAGGATTAATATTTATTGGCCAATTATTCTAAATAAAAGATACATGATTATTGATTTTAACTAACAAATAAAGATTATCTTCTGTCCTTCGAATAAAAAAAGCTAAAATATTGAAGGTATCCAAAAAGATGTATGCTTTTTTTTATAAGAGTTACCAAAAATCATCAGAACAATAAAAAAAAAATACCCATCCTAAACAATGTATAGTATATGTGAAAAAGATTTCAGTTCGACTGGAGAAACGAGGATGTTTCTGCATTTCTTTTTCATGATTTAAATAGTAACTTACATATTTTTATTCAAGACCAATTTTTTAGTAAAAAATACTTTATCCGAACTGCTAAATTCATTGGAAAAACTTAGTCACAAATTTGTTAATTTTAGAGAAAAACATTTTTTTGTGAAAAAGTTTAGGTTAAGAATCTTCCTCATAGATTTTTCATAGAAAATAAATTATGGCCATGTGCTCGATAAAAATTGTCTACTGTAAGGAATACTCTAATGAAATACTTGATTATCTCTTGGTGAAATTGTATTTTGTGTATTAAGTGTTGAGTTTGTTAATGATTGATTAATTGATTCATCGTTTTTATTTAATTCTCTTGATGTTTGTAAATGAACATTTTCAATTTGATCCAATGTTTCATTTGAATTTTGATTAATTAATAATGAATTTGGTATCATAATAAAATCATATTTATCATGCCATGATTCATCTTTACCAATAGGATATGATAATTCACGTGGTAATAAACGAACTGAAGATTGTTTTGAATGATTATGTTTAATTTTATGATGACTTAATCCAGGTTCATAGAAAAATTGTGATGAAAAACAATTTTTAACCATCATATTTCCACATAATTGAAATGATTTAATCATATGATAATGTTGATTTGTCATATAATTTAATAATATTGATTCTAAATCAAAACATAATATTGTCCAATGTATATTTGAATTTGTTGATGTATATGGAAATTGTATACATGTTTGTGTTGTTTTAAATTCACGAAATAAATTTGATAATGATATACGTACAATATGTTGTTCATGTGTAAGAATATCAATGTGAATAGAAAAAAATTTATCAAATATTGGTCGAAATAATACATAAAATAAATGACCTGTTAAACCAAGATTTTGATTTGGTAATTGAGCTGGAAATTGTATATAATTATTTGCTGGAACAAGACCACGTATACGAAATACAGTTGATTTTAAATCACGATCCTTTTTTTTAAAAAAAATTAATTTTTTTTTTTTTTTTTTTTTTTTATGAAAGATTTATCATACCATAAGAGCAGTAACATCGCCTTGTTTGGCACATTTTTTAGTTGAACCAATATCAAAATGTTTGAAAATATTAACAAACGGATGCTGCCATGTACTGTTATTCATCTTAAGGCTTTTTTTTTTTAAGATTAATGATTGTCTTTCTTCTTTTCTTTTCTACCATGAGTATTGAACTATGGAGAAGAGGTCACCTAGTAAATCATAATCATAAGAGTGACATCTAGGTGTTCAACTATAGAGGAATCATTAGACAGTGTTAAATTACATTGAACAATGTACTGAACAATAAGGAAATATGATTTGTATTAGAATAGATTTAGATCATGTCTTGTTAATCTCTTGGATACCGCTGTCTTCAGGTTGAAGACAAGCAGAACGCAAGAATTTTCGGTATCCAAGAGATTATGGTAAAGGAGGAAATCAAACATTTCAGGATGTCCAGACACTTACTATGAATATTTTTCTTTTTCTTTCAAACAAATTTCGGCAAAACTATGAAGGTTACGAGAAAATGTTCCTGAGTGTCAAGTCACTTTAAAGTCAGGACTATGTGAATCATACAAGTTCTAATGAACTATGAATCTCCTGAAAAATATGACAAAAAACAATAGGATCCTTTCTTCACCGTTGTTGCACAAAAAAAATACCTGATTTGTGGCTGGAAACTACAATTTATTTCCGTCGTTATTCATAATAAATGCCATATATAGATAGAGAATATATGAAAACTTCGAAGAAATTTTTGAATGAATAAAGTTCGATCGCCTTATGTTGACGAAATCTTCTGCTCAACTTTGGACAATCATGATGTTTATTCGTTCAAAGAAAAATATGTATTAAATTGATGAACAACTTTGTGACTTTGGCGGAATGTTTTTTCTCATTTATATGACCTCTAATCCTATCATAGATCACTTACAAAGATCGATTAGATTCAATAAATTACATTATAGTATGTTGACAAATCAGGATGAATAATCCAATCATTATCAAATGTTGAGCACAGTAATGTATTTTTGTCCTGCTACTTTTCCGGAAGATGAGATTAATACGGTAGATTCTCGAAGTAGTTCTCTAAGCCTTGGTCAAGTCTATTTTTTTCGGTCCAAGACGGGTTTCCGAGATATCTACTTTACAAACTGCGGTATCTGTGGCGATACAATTCACTATGTGAATACGATTTATGCATTTGCTATAACTTCGTAAGAAAAGAGATCCAAGTTCTGTTGAATTTTCCAATCGACTCAGCGCATCGACAAATAATGAAGGGCGCCATTTGACGAAAGAAATTCAGAAATTCAAATAAATTTTTGGACTCAAGACTATATATGTTATCTTGGTGGTGATACCACTAATATTGATCTGCGTTTGGATTGGTCGTAGTATTTCGATGATTTTATATTTCAGCGACGTTTCTGAGAAAAACTAAAAGTGCAGTTCGATAGAAAAAAATTTTCTCTATCGACTAGTATCAAGTTTACATTCGGTCTCTTAATTTTTTATTAAAATGCATTTGATATTGATTGGCTTAAAACACTACTCTTTTTCTGCTGTGACAGTGTACTATTATGTGATGAAAATACTTGATACACTATCTCATTTCATTGGTTCATCTACATATGTTTTCGTTAAAAAACATGCTTTGTTACAACGATCGATTGTCAATGATTGGTTTGGTTATCATTTAGACAATGCCGGTCAAGCATAACTTCCATATAGATATTTATATATATGTGCCAATTGCAGCCAAGTATATTATATTAACAATGAATTGTTTACCAAGTATGATTATAGAGTTATTTCACATAATCATTTATTTCTTTTCTTCATTTTCACAGGATACGTTGTCCATCTACTTGATTTATCTGATGAGTTAATTTTAGCTATTATGAATCAAGTCAAACCTCATGTGTTGTTACTTTGTTCTATTGTTTCTATTGGTAACAATCGTTTGGAACAACTTGCACTGGATAAATGTCAATCAATAGATTTAACTTTTGATTATCTTCAATCACTACATGAATCACTTTTTCAAAGATTTTATTCACATGTTCTGCCTCGTATCTTCAATAATATTCAATCATTAACACTGCATATTCAACATCTTCATAATATTCTCACTTTTATTGAAAAAAATTCTGATAAAAGTTTTCCAAATTTCACACATTTGAGGATAATGCCTTGTAAGCGAAATCCTAAAACAGGAACGCCATATACACTAGGTAAATTATTATTATTAAGTATATTTTTTAATAATGTTTAAGTACTACTATGTTGATATTTCTGCCTAAGAAATATTTGAGATTTTATACATTAAGTATTTGAAAATGTTTGGTCTGTATTGTGTGCCATAAAGAACTTTATAGGTTATTTTTGTGCAAAAAATTGTTACACAATTCAACTAAATAAATGCAATACCTATCATATTTTAAATGCCAACACTTTCCCTACAACAATCATAGTTGAAAAAAAATTCAGAAAAATCGTTTTAATTGAATATTATCAAAAAAGCAAAAGACTGCTGAAAAATATTACAGTTTATAATTTACACAAATATATTTTACGTACTGGTATTTACAGTATGTTCCGCGATTGGCCTCTTGTCTCAACTGTACCTCATTTTGTTCGACTAAATGGGTCAGGTAGTGATGAAATCTTATATAGTTTTTGTTCTTCAATACCTATGCGTTCTATTGTATCATTTGAACTTGATGATGACTGTATTTTACCAAATATATTTTATGATCGCGAGTTTTTCCCACAATCAATTCAACTGATACATATCCGAATAACATAATGTTATTTTGAAGATTGCATTTGTTTACTCAAACAATTGGGTCAACAACTCGATTCATTTATTGTGAGTATTGTATATGTTGATGGTACCGAATTACGTCTTATGTTTAAAATATCATCGGTAAGTAATATTTATTAATTTCAAATTTCATTCAATTGACCTATTTAGATTTTATGTCCAAATTTGAAACATTTGTCAATGACAATCTATCGGAATTTTGATGATTATAAAAAATGTTTTGTACCTCTTCTACAACGATTGTCAAATGTTAAATTTTTAACATTATTGTTAGCTATTGGTGAAACAGGAAAGACACCAAATCATTTTATTGATGGATATGATTTAGAGAATGATATTATTGCATACATGCCTCATTTATGTCAATTTAATTTTCATATTCGTTCTATATTAGAGAATGCTCCTCATGTTGAGCTTGATACAATTCGTCAAAGTTTTTTTCGACAACAATCTGTTAATTGTGCAGTTAACTATTTCAATAATAACTATGGTCAATGTCAAATCTATTCACTTCCATTCATTGGTACTCGTCTTGACTTTATTTTCAATCGATTTCCACTCTTTGATATTACTAATACATTCTGTATGGTTACTACATTATTACTTTTCGATGATATCGAACCATTCGAAAGTATTTTTTTTGAACGTCTAGCTCAAGCTCTACCTCATCTCAGAACACTCGAAATAATTAATAAACGTGAACAAAAAGATAAGATAAGAACAACGACAAATAATCTTAAGTTTTCTCATTTAACTACACTAATTTTATTTGATATTCATATGAATTACGTTGAACAATTACTTTCTCGAACTTATCTTCCTTCTTTAAATGAACTTGCCATTTGTAACGATATACTATTAGCAATAATCAATCAAAATCAACATCAAACAAGAGATAATTGTTCTAGAGTGGAAAGATTACAAACTTCTGAACCGTTGTATAACTCAGTAAATGTTGTTCAAAACTATTTTCCATCAGATTCTTATTTAAAACAGTTGGTAGAAAAACAATAACATAAATGAATTCTATAAAAATTTAATCGACTATTTCTATTGATAAAGTTTTGCTTTTGTTAAAGTCAATGCAATAGAAACATTGTAAAAATTTATATTCATATAAATATAATATTGTTACAGAGTGCGGTAGCAAACTACGTTTTCTTTATTTTGTTTGTCTTTCGTCTTTCTCGCGTGTATAGTCTACGTGTACGTTAGAGGGCTGCGGGACAAACTTTTTGTGCCCCGTCCCGAATTTTTTCGAATTGTCCCATAAAATCCCGTTTGTCCCGTTAACTGACAGGAATATAGAAATATTGTTTTGTGAAAGACGGATAAGTTTTTTCTATACTACCAATAGATAACATGGACTCATATAGTTATTTATTAGATGAACTAGCTATCTTTTTCTTTATATAATTGGCAACACAATTTCGATCAACGAATACATGTGAGTCTAGATGAAATGATTAATTTTCTACTTATCGAATGAAATATTGAAACGTTAATAAAAATTTAGTTTGTTGCAGCCGAGATGTAAGAAAAAAAGAAGTTATTTTGGGATTTAAATATAGTATAAGCACATTCTCATCTTCACGCGCACTCTAATTGATGCGCAGAATATGCTAGTCAAATGAGACCGTGTGCTTAATTTATAGCAGTAGTGAAAGAACTGGCGAAAAGAAATAAAAATGATCAACTTTGAAAGCATCTGACAATAGTTTTTCCTTTGTCTTTCTATTATGTTATTTATTTAAATATTAAAATATTTGTTAGAGATAAGAAATCTCAAACTTACGACCCATTTTGATATATGAATTTAGGAAATTCGGGAGGTCGATCTTTTTTTGAATAGTCCCGATCCCGAATGTCCCGCAGGATAGGACAAACGAGATTATTCGGGATTCGGGACTGTTCCGCAGTTCTCTAGAGTACGTTCTTGCTTCCTTTCTTTCTTTCTACTTATGCACACTAGTGAAAAATACTTAGACCTTTATTTTTCTTCCGTCCAGTCACACATACTATAGTGATGTGTGCGTATGTCCTTTTTTCTCTTTCTCACTAATAATAGTATATATGTGCATCTCTCTTCTTTAGAGTAACTGGGGGTAAATGTATAGAGAGAATGACTGAATCTCAGTAGAATGGCTATAACTTTTTTATTTTTTATTTTTTCAAAAAATTTTCTTCACAAGACACCTAAACTTGTTCTATCTTTTGAGATATTGTTCAATTCAATTTGCTTGATATATAGCAAAAAAATAATTAAATACTGGAAATCACAACAGGCGAAAAAATCAAAAGGAGCTCCACTGACCCGTACCAAATGTTTTCTTCACCATTACTGAATGATCATTCAGAGAAGGCTAAAATTTTGGATTTATAGGTTTTCTACCATGCTCTTTCATTTTGAATAATAAAAAGCCTATGTCAAAATTTTTTT